GACAGATACAATTGAGTATCGTCCGCATATTGATGGTATCTAATCCCGTGCCTGCGGATGATCTCTCCCAGCGGTTTCATGTAGATGTTGAACTTAAATATATTTTTATCTTTTTGGTGGCATGTATTTACTTTTTGCAATGTTTATACACTAACTCCACGAGGACTCTAAATTGTTAAAAAATTGAACATAAACCATTAAAACAAGTTCACACAGTATGTAAATATTTATGTATGAAGATATAGCTATAGATAAATATGCATGTATCTATAAGGATATTTATATCAAATGCTTTGTAATGGAAAGATTCTTAATAGCCTTAAAGCTGGACTCTCTACTCTTTCCTCCCCATCTATATCCAATTTGTTTGAGGTTTTTTAAGCCATAACACTTAAATGTGTTGGCAATCTAATCTTCCTCTCAAATTTTCAGGACCTTTATAGTCCGATGAGATATTTTTATAAAATGGAAAGTGACACATGCTACAGTCACTGCTGTCAACACTGAAATCTATAGCAATTTCAGCAACTCTTATTAGGCCCAGACTTTGCTTTGTAAGGGATACATTGCACTGTTTTTCCATGGGCTGCTTCCAAGTGTTCACAGAATCTTTAATTAAAGAAGAAGATGTAGGATGTGACAGCATTGTCCTTGGATTTTCTCCATGCTGCTCCACGTCCTTGGAAGCTGTTCCCAGGGGAAGGAAAATATGAATATAATGACATCTCATCATTAATTTAATGTTACTAGGGAGATGTGGAAAGGCGATGCAGAACATGACAGCTATGAGTTCCTGACAACATATCCTTTCGACAGATTGAATCCCACCATTTCTTAGTTGGATTTACCCACCACAGTGGCCTTCCTTGTTAATGTTCATTTCTTTTCACCATTGTATAATTATTTGATAGAAAATTGTTATTTTAAAACAAAGTAATATTGTGCAAGTGATCTAAATCTATGGACAGTAGGTAAAATGGTAGGATCTTGTTTCTTGTATCTGAAACACAAAATCAAATACATAATTACTAAGTATTTCTTGAGACTAGTTTGATGCTTACCTCAAATTTTCTCAGGAGGAGGACAAACTGTGGGACTGAGTAGGCAGGACAAACTTTCACCACCTTCCCATTTTGAACTCTTATGGATTCTTGAGACACAAAAACAAGGGCTCAATCTCATCTTAAATGAAGTAATGGGTCCAGAATTTAAATCTGAATTTGTAGTTAATGTAACATTTAGCTGTCAAAAATAAGAGGAAAGGAGAATAGTAATTGAGAAACTAGTTTTGTACCACTGGAAAAAACCTGCAGTGGCTATTTCATTATGTTATCAAATACACTCAGTTACATGAAGTCCAAGGCACTATAAAGTGTATTCTCTGAGTTCCAAGATTTTTTTTTAAAATGGAGCCTTTAATCTGGGATTAAAGCATAGGAGCTATTCAGAATGCATGAATGCGTCATTAATTTTTTCAGAAGGATTAATATATGCTAAGATAGGTATTAAATAAAGATAATTGCCTTTTGGCAGCTACAATTTTGACTTAGTTGTTTGAAATACTAAAGTATGTCATAGTGGCAAGTAAAATGCAGTAGACATGCATTGTAAGATTTCTTAGAAGAGTGAACTGTGTGGCATTGTCTCTTCACTACATCATGATCCACTGGCCACCGGAGTTAGTAGGGATGTAGAGACTTAAGGATTTATTCTATGCCCTTCTTTATCAGTTTTCCTATCTCCTGTTTCCCTAAGAAATTGTAATATCAAGTCATTTCCTTTGAATTTCTTCCTAGGCACATATGAGCAGAGTACTTCCTGATGCTAGGAAATCCTAAGCTTTGCCCATCTCTTAAAATTATTATCATTTCTCTTTATAGTGATAAAATCTGTGTCACTGTTAATTCTCGGTTAAATTTTCTCTCTCAATAATGTTCTAGTACACAACAAACTCATCAACTCCAACATTATAGATAAGGATGGTTATTTTCAAAATTGCTACCTTATAATTCCAGATCCCATAAAATATGTCAGAACCATTCTTCAAGGGGTGGCGGAAGAGGTGTGAAATTGGCTGCCTGTCAGATCTGGAAGCCATTTTTTGCATTCAGGCCTCCGACATTTTCTACTGTGGGAAAATGGGAGGGGCGATTATATGGAGTATGGGAGATATATAGTCAAAATAACATTCTTTTCTCAGGGAGTCAAGGACACCTTGCCCTGCAGCTGCGATGAGGTGACTGGGAGGCATCTCCAGTTTTGGATGGTGCCTGATTGGACCATGTGATGGACATGTGGGTGCTGGACAGGGACTTGAACTTTCACTTAGATGGGGAAAACCTGGAAACTTTCAGATTCGGGTTTTCCCAGATGTGCCAATATGACATCGCTAATAAAATGGAACTTTGAGGAAACTCAAGCCTCAGAGTCTTCTTTCGTTGGGGGTGTTACTTGGAACCCTGGTACTGCCCTCTCTCAGGCCTTTTTATTCAGAAAACAGAAAGGAAAAGACTCAGAGAGTTGGATAGATATGAAAAACTACAGAACTGTAGGATCCATTGTTTTGTCAGTTGCTGGGTATGTCCTCCTCAAATTGATTCCTCAGAGTTGGAGACTTCACTGTTGGAGCTCTCTGTATTGATTTGTGGAATCATTCTGTCAAGTCTTAATCATAATGATCAACTTCTGCTAAGAATCTTTTCTGTAACTCTGCATCACTGTGACCATGTGTAATTTATCTGTCTATGATATCTTTCTAAAACACATGTGCCAAAAGAATTACATAGTGATTAATATATTTCTACCCAAATAGTTTAGAAATCAGTAGTTATTGGTATTTTGTTTGAAATACTTCCCAGTCACTAACTAACCTTTAAATATTCCAGATGAACCTGGACCATGCTAACAAGGTAGTTAGCAAACTGTCTTTTTACAGTCCATTCCATATCTGATATATGAATAAGCAGAGAGCTTCAGTCTCACCAAGATGTCAATCTGCCACTTTTCCCCTACACACAGAATAAACTGAGCCTGCCTTATAAAAAGGCTCCACTGTGAATTGAGAAGACTTGTTAATTTCAATGTATATAAAAGCAAGAAGAAGCAATGTCAAATTACCATATCCATATTTAGAATTCTATTTCAATACAGCAGCTATGCATAAATATTGTTAAAGCTGATTTGGAAGCATAGGGAGAAAGAAAAGTATAGGGAGTTTGTTATAGAAAAAGAGAATACAGAACATATTTGTTTCTATGCATGGTTATTATATCCTGCCTAGAAAAAGTTCTATAATATTTTTTCTATACATTCCATATGTTCCCAAAAGAAAGAGCCAAGCATGCAAGTCAGGACAAGGCAATGTACATGATAAAATGTGTACCATGACATCATAGCACAAAAAGAACAATTTAGGTACTTATGTCAAAAATCAGAATGTAAGTACCCAAGAGCACGGTTTGTATCCTCATGTCACCAAACATGTGACATCATTTTGCTGTAAATACCTATATAAATAAAGATGCAATCACATTGAGTTTGATTGTTCCTATATCTCAGTTTTCCTGGGACCACTTTGGAAATGTCTTGTCATTGTTTTCTCCCAACATGCTTTATTTTTTCAACTCCATGGTCTAGCCAACAGCTGTAGAATTCCCAAATGCTGAGACTGAATGACATAATTCACTAAGCAAGCTAGCCCTGTGCTAAGGGCTAGCCATGAAAAGCACTACTGTGGATTTAAACAGGCAGATTTATTCAAAATCTAGTGTTTCCTGAAGCTATTAGGTGGAAGGGACCAAGAAGAATTATGTTGTCAGTCACAAGGACTCAAAGATATCTTAGATAGATAGATAGACAATAAACAGAAGATAGATGTATAAATGTTAGAATCCATAATGCTATACGATAATAAACAGAGTGCTATTTTGCCCCTTTATTAATGTGCTCTGTATATAGAAATTATTGAGAACAATTTAGTTTCAGTTGTTCACTCTAATAGAACAACACATTCTATTTTGAGGTTAGAATCAATTCATTTTAGCCCATAATGTGGTTTGTTTTGTTTGGCTTAGCATATTGTGTGAATTTAGTCAATGTAGTTTGTAACTCTAATTTATGGTTTAGCTTCATACATAAAGCAGTCAGTTGCAGTTCAGTCAATTAACCACAGTAAACAAAATGTGGCTTATCTTGATGGGTCAACCCACTCACTAAGAACCAATAAGTTATTTTGCAGAAGGAAACTATGCTATTTATTCTGGCAAAGTGTATGGCAGTTATGATGATGCTAGATAAGTCATCTGCCAGCAAGAATACAAGGTTCCTTGCAGTTTGATCAATAGGATTATGTTATGTTATTATTGACATGCAATGCAAAGGAGATGCATTTCTAATGATATTGTCTTTGTCTTCTTCTAATTTTTCAAAACTTGTTTTTAGGTGAAAATAAGGGGGAGGAACTATCTTTTTAAAAAGCTTCCTGGTGGGAACCCTACTGATATCAACCCAGCAGGACGGCACTTTCTGCAGTGTTTACTCTGTTTCCTTTACTTTTGTAAAAAGAGTTTTATTGCTAAGTCTCCAATATTATTGACCATGACTCCGTTGCTTTCATCCTTACTTTGAAAGCGGTTTATCAGATTAGCATTTAAAACATTCAAAGGCTAGTATTATTAGGGGGGAAATTGCAGTAACAGATCATATATAGGCACATTTTATTAAATCAAGTATAATATGTTATGTGCCAAGTGTTAAAAATCTAATCACATATTTTTAAACATGCCAGCAATGTGGTGAAGGTGTCGTGGTTGAGTATGAGTCACTTGGAAACCCAAAATAGAAGAAGGTAATAACTTGATTGGGATAAAAATAGGACTTTTCTGGCGATAAATGTACATGAACTTTCTCATGCACACATGTACACACAGATGTCACTGCAATACTTAATGTTTTAAAATAATGAAGTTTGGGAAAGGCAACGAAACACTGCTTTACTCATATGTCCTCATGCACAATGTTATCACCCATATGCAAAATCTTATCACAGACTCATTCTTATTCCACCTTAAGGAGGGTTGGATGTTTGGAAGAACAATATCTTTTTTTTAATATATTTATAAATAATGTGGGGATCAGATTTATATTTATAACATTAAAAAAATAAAGCTTCAAAAGAGAATCATTGTGAACACAGAACATATAAGACCAGATATTTTTGCTAAGCTCTTTGAACCACCCAAAACAGTTCCCTTCTCTTAAATGCACCAAAGCCAGCTTTCCAGCTGAAATGAGCTGAGAAGACCACATGGAGTATAACTTTGCCTAAGAACATGACATTTTAAAACTGAAGGTAAAAGAGACATTTAAAAAAAAACCTAAATGTGTTGCAGAAATAGATAAGCCTCCCACAAGGATATTATCTAGCCAGTTTGGTCTGTTTCAGGAGAATTTGTCAATGCTTTCCTAAGTTCACTTTGCTGGAGGCGAAGCATGCTCAAAAGATCCATTGCACTGCAGGTGCTTGGCTACCCAAGTATTTTGAAGTAACCTAATTTAGAGGAGGGGGTCCTATCACAGCCTGGGATGCTTGCATATCCTCTGCTATGCCTTTTTCCTCCTCTTTCTCTTTCTCCATGTCTCTGGAGGTGCAGTGGTTAAAGGGTAGTATTGCAGGCAAACTTTGCCTACAGTCTGGAGTTTGACTCTAATAAGGTTCAAGGTTATCTCAGCTTTCCATCCTTCCGAGGTCAGTAAAAATGAGGACCCAGATTGTTGGGGGCAATATGTAAATAATGCTTCTACATTGTAAACAATCCAGAGTACTGTAAACACTATGGAGTGATATATAGGTCTAAATACTATTATGTCTCTTCCAGCAGCTCTAATTGGGAATTTTAGCATGTCTCATGTAATGGAAAGTGGTAGCTTGTTCCTCCAATAGTTTGGATGTTGGGTAACCTCCCAAACTTCAAGCTGCTTTTATTGGATCCTGAGGTTGCAGCTGATGTTTGCCCTAAATAACTCATAGGCCACACTGCTCCCATCAGTTTCATTTACCTTACTCAGCTGTGTCAGTCTGAAAGACATAATCTAGAAAGTGAAATGGGTTTTTCTTTCTTTAGATAGTTAATGCAAGACACGGCATAGTCAAAACTGAGCAAGACAAGATTACAGTCTTTAAATGTTCTGAATTCCCCAAAGAATAAATCTGAAAGGAAGGGCAACCGAATTTCTAGGT